ACATCAGTCTCTATAGAATTGCAGTTCCTAACATGCAAAACCATGCTAATATATATATTTATAAGTCTCTATAGAATCAATATACCTAAGACATCCAGAATCCCTTCGCTAGACTTATAAGCCTCTATAGAATCAAACTTGTAAAAAACAACAATTCTCTATAAATTCGAGGATCTTGAAGGACAGGACTTTACAACCTCCATATGAGCCAAGAAAAAATGGCAAAAAAATCGTCTTATCGGGGTCCCAACCCCCGCGATTCTGTAGAAGAAATTCCATCCCCTATATTTTGCTCATATTCTATATAGATTCGCAGATATGATATGAGTCCAAAGGCTGGTACCATGCCTGGAGCAGCATCTTGGTCTGGCCATCATGATCCAGGGCCAGTACCTGCTTACTTGGGGGATTTGAAACCAACTCCTTCCATGACAAATCAATCTGACAATCTGACGACTTGCGAACTACAGTCCGAAACTTTCCAATTGATGGCCCATGGTTGTATGAACAAAGCCAAGGTATGCAGAGTGAAAGGCAAGGGCAAAGCGCAAATTGACAGCAACATCGAGATGCCTGCTTTGGTGCTCTGTGCTTGAGCCGGGCCGCATCTGTCAGGCAAAGAGCCTCACAATGGCGGCAAAAGCAATGCTTCCATGATGTACAGAAGCCCCTGAAGTTCTTTGGCCCTGTTGCAGCCTTCCACTGTTCGCGCTCCCCAAAATGGCGCCAAGCAACAATCAGCAAGGTAGCAAGTTTCAGCGACATCTGTGCAACTGACCTTAAAGTGAGAAGACATGCAATCATCTAAGGCCGGCTTCATTTGCACAAGCCATTGTGAATAGACAAACATGTATATACTGAATAATCTTATGCAAACAATAACCTTGGTGCATTGTGTCTCATTGCCACTTCATCGCGCAGGACACACAGAGGGAACACTAGGCTTCCAGCACAATGGACTCGGCGGCTTCAATATGTCAGGTCCAGCTTGAGACTGGCTGCGAGATCACAAACCAATGATGGTAGGACCTTGGGGTAAACCAATCAAGTCATCCCGTTCACTCGAATGACATGTGCGAGAACTGCAGCTTTCTAGCTTCAAGCCTCAAGCGATAATATATTGGACCTATAGGCCTACTGTATAGGTTCAAATGAGATAAGAATAAACGAAAAACATGGGATAGGATCAGAATACAGGGAAACATGCATAGAGCACATGCATGAGACAAAAAGTCACAGATCAGAAAAACATCCCAGCAGTATTTGAGAACATGAGTTGAGAAAGTTTGGAGACATTGAAAAAACAGTGGACCCCATGAGAACCAAAAAATGTATCTCCCAAGCTGTTGTATGTTCCATATGCGGCATCACATGTGTTCCCTGCCCTAGTACTAGAAGGAGTTGTTGAGACTCAGGCCACAAGCAAATGGGCCAGTGCAAAATGTCCTAACTCATGTGTGGATAGAGTACATGTAAAGCCAAGAGTTAGGACTTCTGATACAATGTGCGATAGGAAATGATTGCTATCTCAGCCCTCCAGAATGTTGTTCGGCTTTCAGAATTCATCCTGGGCGCATGGGATAGGAAAAGCGACTGCCCCCATCAAGTCTGCTAGTTTCAGAGCGCGATGGTGATTATGACTATGACATACTATGACTGTGACTATGAAGACTCTGCAAATCAAAAAGGTACCGCATTGGGTGGGTGATTTACGAGAGCTATGGGGACGTGTGAGCATACACATCAATCAACACATGGAGACCGCAGCTCCAGCTACTTTCCACCCGATTTGCAACTTGCAGGAGAGTGAGTACTAGTAGCGTCCTTGCTCCTAGTAGCGATGCCAGGAGCCCCTAGTAGCTTCTTGTTCCTAGTAGTAAGGCCAGGAGCTACTAGTAGCGTCCTTATATCACATCATATTACGGTATACTCGTTACGATCATCTGTAGGCCAGGCTGGGTAAAATGCATTCGGAGCATTCGTCGCAACCCAGGAAACACATCAGCAAGTCTCTTACTGTCGAGCCGAAAAACAGAAGCAACCACGTCATGCGAAAGCAACTCGATATTTGATCCAAATTACATCAAATTACAGTAAAACCAAAAACGTATTCGTCGTCAGCTTCGTATGCTACAAAGAAGAGCTAGAGTGTCCGGTCGTGATCTGAGATGGTGTGCTTTGCACGAAGCCGCAGGTGTTGGACTGTTAGACTCTTCAGCGCGGTATTGAATGTGTTGAAGCACAGTATCTTTACTTTAAACAGCCCAAATCCGCCAGGCATCTCTCTGCAAATTGCAGTTTGAGAAGTCATTTACTGTAAAAAGGCTTGGACATGCAGTTGTTTTTTTGCTATTATATTGATTACAGTCCAAAAAAATACAGCAGTTAATATACCCTGCTTCAAACTGACACAATCATACCTACAAACTCATTGTAAGATGCTTGAGACAGTGCAATGGGTGCTTGGAGGGTACTGTATCAAAAACTCCTTGTTTCAATTCTCCGCTGATGCAACTGGAGAGCTCTGCTCAGTATTACAATCATGTAATTACAGTAACAGCACGAAGTCAACTTTCGGACTTCCACGTACGGCAGTTTTGTCGTCTCAAACAATACGATAATTTTGCTCAAGAACCCTTCCATGCAGTTCATGCAAGGCTGCAATGCTTGTAGATGCTCACCCTCGCCGCCACCAGCCCACAGTCAGAGCCAAAGCCAGCGGAAGGACCTTGACGTAGAACATGATTTGGTTTGACAAGGATGCCCGCGTCACCATACCCATATTCGGAAGATAGATTCCTGCTTCTGCCATGATGATGTGTTGCATGAAACGCATATATTCTGCATGCACTTCAGCTGACATAGGCCAGCCGCTGTACTTGTCTGCCAGGTTCAGCAGTGAGCGTCTGCCCAGTCTACGAGATTGGCATAAATCAGTGATGAAGGCGAGGGGCAGCATAGCAAAAATGCCAGAGCACATCAGGGTGAAGGCCAGGAGCACATAGCCTGTGGATGGTACAGCATCTTTTTGGTATGCCCGTGCGACCCACATGAGCAGCAAACTCGAGCCTGCAACCACGTTTTGGAAAACTAAGACGGTGGCAAAGATCGCTGAGGACATTGCTTTCAAATGGCGGAGCAATTTTTGGTGCTCTCGCAGAAGGTGCAACCACTGTCCAGGAAGCATACTCTTGGCAAAATTATGAGCTTCCAAACAGCCATTGCCTACAGATTCAAGCTCGGTGTAGAAGCATTCTACTTTGTTCATGGCTAGCGAAGCCAACAGTCGGATGAAGGTAAGCAGCTGCAGCAGCGCCCAAGCAGAAAAAAAAGCTGGACTCCAGCCCAAAACGAAGGCTGATGGATGAGGAAGTTGCGAAAGCCGGCTTAGAATGCCATATATTAGCACCACCAAGAGTAGCAGCAGCACTGAGATGCTGTAGCTTTTCCGGAGGTCTTTGAGGAAATGATCCCGAAACTTCCCATTGACCAGTTGTTCGTCAACAAGCCTCGAGATTGATTCACTCTTCATTGCACGTGATGCAAGTGCTAGCATTGCCAGGCACATAAAGTTCAAAATTGCAAGCACCTTGGTCAAGAGTCAAGACGGCACAAAACAAGCTCGAAAGCTCAGTTGACAAAAACACAGCTAGCGGCTTCACTGCAAAGATTTCACATCGTGCAATGACAATGAACTTGCATGCTGAGCAGAGCGCAACAACAGAAACCTGGCAAAATGAGCTGTGTTCGAAGACATCGGAGTTCCTTATTCTGCTTCAATTAACTTAATTGCTTCAAATTGTGAGATTCTTACTTGCATCAGTGGAAAGCGCAGTACCTTGAAGCTGTTGCACGAGATAGATTACAGTATATAATTTCATATCATTCGTTATTGCTTTTCTCCCAAGCTCCCACCTGGAAAATATTCTTCTGCTTCTCGACGGTGTTGCCAACCTTGTTTGCCTCTGCTTTAATGTTGTCCTCCAGCCACTCTGGTCTTACCCAGGGTAAGAGTATAGCCTGAGCATTTCGTCTTCCACACCCTGCTCGTTTGCGCCACTTGCATCCAAGGAGCGTAAAAGCCCACGCAAAGGAGGCAAAACATGTGGAAGACTTGCCTCAGGTGAATACTGGATCAGAATGGCTGGAAAAAGCTCCATCGGCTGTACAAGCACATCCCTGACAAAAGAATTGTTTGCTTTGTATATACAGAAATGTATTACTGTATGATCCAAATTGCAGTATGTAATGTCTCTCATAGGGAAGGGAACCGGTACTGGAACAATGTGCAAAACCACACCAAGCCAAGGTAAAGCCTTGCTTGATACAAGTTGCACTCGTCTGTCCGATGCCCCCCATGCCAAGGTAGCTGAAAATCCACCAATTGCGTCATGGCACAATTTCGCAACCTTAAGCAGTTTGCTCAACACATCATATAGATAGCAATGCCGATTTAACAACCCAAGCTACTGTGTATATATATATATATATATCAGCGGGCAAGCATTTGGTGCCATAAATGTTATTATACCGTAGTCTTTTGCGTTGGACGTAATAGTGGGGAAGCTGGAGCCTAACCAAGATAGGAAGCTGGGCAGGGCTCATTGCAGCCATTGCCATTGCACTTTGCCCGCTTATTTGAAGGCGTCAAAGGTGATTGAGAACAAAGCTTCGCTCGCCTTCGTTGAAAACTTCCTAAATAACAGCCACGGAAAGAAATGTCGGTTCTTTAAAAGCAAAGCAATTACAACTGAAGCTTTCGTGCCAGGAGTCTGCATGTCAGCAGGAAGAGGCAAAATAGTACATTGTGATTGTGAATATCCTGAGACAGTTCAAAACAACATGCACTACAGCCCATGTTGACACCTGGATAAGGCAAAGAGTAGTACAGAATCACACTTCTTCATCTCCTACGTTATAATTTTTTATAAGTACGGAGTCCGGAGAAGAAACAAACATACAAAATATGTTCATCGATTTTGCCGGTACTGACTAGATTGATTGGTCTCAACATTCCTGTAGTCTCTCCCAAAAATCAGCATTGCCTCCTCACTCACAAACAAGCACGAACAAATTCTACAAAAGGGCTGGCCCAGACTGCAGCCCTAGACATGTGACATGCCTCCACACCCTATCAACCCTTCGGGATTAATTAATGTGGCTTCACAATGCTCCAATTGTATGGCTGCATCGTTGCATGTTTCCATGTCAAACTTTTATATCTTCTATTTCCAGCTTAGGAGCAATATTCGTGTCAACGAACGGGCTGCGACAAAAGGTCACGACAAACCCATTGGCGTCATTACCCCATCGACTGAACAAAAGTCCATTCGAAGCTCCATGCATGTTCCCCGAGCTTGCACTACACTTTGCTTGAGCTGCTTGGAGTATTGCTAGCATGATTTCCACCTTCTTCTGCCCGCAATGAGACCATGCCTGTTTTTCCTAAAAGTATTGTAAGGTTTTTTCTTTTGCGGCTCAGCCAATGGCATTCAACGTGAGATAAACTCATGCTATGCAATCGCTCACCCTGAACGAAAGGGATTCTAGATTTTGGCTTGTCTGAGTCTGAGATGTGATATGACCTTTTTGATGCACTTCTTGGCAATGACTACCAAAAGAAGCCTGTTCTCTCATTGTCTGTACAGCAAACTTCCTTCTTCAAGGAAGCACCATTTCAAATTTCCATTAACAAGTGACATTGCATCTCGTCCAAAGAGCAACAAGGTGCAAATGCTGGTGCAAATGTTTGCCAACCCTAGGAGCGGCAACCCGCAACTGCTCATGTTCCCTCCGCTAGCATGCCGTGCTTAGGTTCGAGAAGCCTGCAAAGAAGGCATGGATAGCATTTGATAGCATTGCAAATATTTTTTTTGCTTTGACATCTTTACAGTAGGGAAACACTTAGCAAAGCAAGGCCTCTGCAACAGGAGCAGGCTCCTCCGCAGGCTTCTCCGCCTGAAGACCAGAACCAAAGTGTCAAGCCAGGAAACCTGTAAGTCAAAGTCACACTTCTTCACAACTGTTTCCGGTCTGGATTATTTGCAATAATTAAACTGCGTCAAAGCAGCTACCGAGGCGCTCCCTAAATGCAAGCTAGAAAGGTCTAAAGTTTGGTTTGCTAAGGATCCTTAAGGAGTCCAATCCGGCATGGGAAGGATTCTTAAGGAAACTTTCACCTAACCACCCGCTCTCATGTGGGAGGAGCTTCCTTGAAAAACCCGGGCAGCCCTGCTGCGTCCCGTCACTAACACAGCTACTTTAGCTAACTAACACAGCTTACCTACCCTATAATTACCCTAGCCTATTTTTATAGTTTCTTGGTCTTCTTAGTGGCCGCTCCCCGCAAAATGGACATTGTAAAAAAGGCACGGCAGCATTGCCATGTAGTTGGCATCGACCTTCTGCCTTGCTAGGCATCGCTAAATTGGGAAACATTGATAACCACATTATAACCACTCCCCACTGAATTTCCAAGGGTCAGCTGTGACCGGAGAACGTTTCCGAACAATGCCCGAAAGTTCTCAAACACATTCTACTTCGCGCGAGCGCTTGCGCATTTCGCCGTTCAGTAGCCTCTGGCAAGTACGAAGGCTTTGCCGATGAAGAGTTTATTCCTTAAGAAGCGCGACTCCATAAGCGAAGAGACAACGGGCTGACACTTTGTCTTCCCAGTGGCCTGCTAAAGCTTCCATCTTCATCTCCTCTTCTAAAGCACTGAACCTAATCAAAACAATATCCAAGTCTTTTCCAAATATGTATCAACAAGTACATTAGCCAAAGGGTAGCGTCTGCATTAAGCGCCTAAGAGGTGCAATCTAGGCCTCTGACTCAGCTTCAAAAGAGGCCTCATCGAAGCCGTCTGGAACAGCATACGAGGTAGAAATGGCCTGCAAAGCAAATAAGCCCACATCCCAAAAGACATCTTAAAACATGTTTGCCAAGTTCACAGTAGTTCAAGTTCAAACTCTACCGTCAATGCATCTCGCTGCTTCCTGCTTGACTGGTCACGCAGCGTTTGGACGCACTTGCATCTCAAAGGAAGCACTAGAAACATGATCCAACAGGCCTCATTAATATCATATATTTCATCATTGAGATCAGCCATATCGTCCATCAAGCGCTCCTGAGTGTTCCATGAATGTGCCAGAAGTATGCAAACAGCTGTAATCACGACCGATGAGTTACACGTATGTGATGTCCACTCTATATGTCTAGTATATAGTTCAGATAGTTCAGGGATATTCTTGAAAGCTACTGGGAAACATGCCTCTGTGGTTCTAAACCTTAGACTTCCTTATGCTTGGAGAAAACTAGCCGGAAAGTACACCAAACCTTGCAGTGCTTCGACCTGAGCTTCGAGCGATGTCCATGACACCACCGATTTGAGTGTATCTTTCTTTCCTGACATGCATTGTCAATGCCCATCTCGATACCTTGTTGACTGGCCTCATCTCTGTAACCAGGCCGGGCAGGCAAATCTTGGTGACCAGCTTTCATGGCTTCTACCGTCATGACGTTTATCTCAGCCTGTCACACAACTGCGCTGCATGAGCAAAATTCATACAAGCACAATCCTCAAACAAGCAAAGCCGGCAAATGCATCCAAAACAATTCACTACAACATGTAGAAGTAGAAGTGTGTTGCAAAGCAATACGGTAATCATGGAGAAACATTAATCTCAATCAGAATTGGAAGAACAACCGTTTGCAAAATAGGTTTAAGAAGATTATAAACACCCACGATGACCAGTCGAATCCGCCCCGACAAATCCAACAGGTTATATGAAAATGGTCATATAAAGCCCGCGTTTAAAGAAATACAACAAAATCAAAGCAACGTGGATTGACATGCTGCTGTACCTGTTCTTGCGCTCCGGCTAATGAATCCACGTTGAACTGGGTCCCCAGAATCTGGTCGCGTTGCTGCTCGTACATTCGCTTCCTGAACAAGACTCAAGGACTGCTTGAAATATGTAATTACAGTATATATCATATATATATTATATAGTTATAGTTATATACAACCATGTTACATGGCCGTGATCACGGGTGTGCATTGGAATAGGTAGTCCCCCCAAAAGGACCACTTGAAAAGGACAAACAATAGACAAACCCAAGATCCCGTTGTTTGGTGGGGCTCCGTGTCTTGTAGACACCCACATGCAGCTGCAAATTCGACGACTAAGAATGCGAACCACAACCAAGACATCAAACGCTTTGTTCCGGAAACCTTGACCGTAAATTTAACCTTACAAAAAACTACTAGGAACAAGTGCATCGCTACTAGGAGAAAGGGCCTTACTAGTAGTAACAAGAAACAAATTGATGTAAATTGCATTTTATGTGCAGGGCCATACCACGACATGCCAGGACCCATCGAGCCTCTTCAAACACTGGAGCGCGAGCTGTTTCTGCTGACCCGACTTTGCGCCCACATATCGGCGGAGATCCTGTGATGACAATCTGTTTCTTGACCTTCCTCTAAGGAAAAAGAACACATAAATGCGTTCCTCATCACACTTTGCAATCTTTTTCTCAAGCTCTGTGACCTTGCATACAACACATGCACTTGATGCAAATATTTGTTGTCGAGGCGACGACTTAATGTCAAGCATTGCAGCGATAATTCACATCATGTGATGTTATGCCCAATCAGCTCTAAGACTTTCAACAAGAAATGATCCGTGATGCATCTTGGGGCCTCACGCGGGTGTCAATACGCGCCGAAGTATCTTGAAGGCTTGGAGCTGGACCAGCAACAGGAGCCTACATCAGAAAGATGCTTGCATAGTCCCCCTCCCCTTTCTTGCTTTGCTTGTATTTCCCCAAACAGTTTACTGTTGGGGTTCTATGGTAGAAAGAATAGAGCTGGCCACACTCACTGGCCGCGCCCCTGAACTCTGTGGCTGGGCCTTGTCCTCCTCTTGTCCTCCTCTTGGCCGCGCCCCTGAACTCTGTCAACTCTGGCCGCGCCCCTGAACTCTGTCAACTCTGTGGCTGGGCTCTGTGGCTGGGCCTTGTCCTCCTCTTGTCCTCCTTTTGCCCGTGCCCCTGAACTCTGTCAACTCTGTGGCTGGGCCCACGCCCCTGAACTCTGTCAAC